TGCAGAAGCTGCCCTCTGGTGGTCAGTGCGCTACCACAGTGGGAGCACCGCTCGGCTGACCGGATGAGCGGCTGCTCCTGCTGCGAACCTCAGGGCCGATGAGCAGGAACCTGGGCTGTGATCGTTGCCTCCTTGCCCCAGGCTCCTACTCCTCACTCCCTGCCACCTCCTCCTCCAGACGCCCACTGGGCTCCTGGAGCTGACCCCAGAGGCTGGGAGGCAAGTTCGTGACTATGGTGGGACTGAGGCCTACTCCGTCGCCTCTCAGTGCTATTGAACCCGGGCCCAGCCTTGACCGGGTCCCCTGGAGAGGCGAGTGCTCCAGCTCCACAGAAGATGCCAGACCTGGGAGCAGCCGCTCAGAGGGCAGGTCCGTAGCCGCTAGGCAGACCAGGACAAGTGACACTCCCACAGTGGCCGATCCCCGCAGGCCACGCCCCCACTAGTGCCCAAATCCTGTGTACTGGGCCTGTAGTATCTGTCTATATACAAGGCTAAGCGACTGGCTGACCAGCTGGTAGGTATGATGCACACTGACCACCAGGGGGCAGACGCTCAACGCAGAAGCTGCTGAGCAACAGCAACTTTGCAGAGTGCCCTCTCACACTCTGGGACCCCTCAGGGGATGTCGGACTGCCGGTTTGGGCCTGATCCCCACAGGCCAGGCCGAGGGACCCCACTCACTCTGCAGATGCCCTTCGAGCCCCAGCGCCACTCCAGGTGCGGCCGGTTGGGGTGGGGCCATGGGAGGTTGGCTCCAGGGTGTGTCTGGCCTGTCTAGCCCAGTCCCACCCCGCCAGCCACCTTCTAGTTAATTTCCTTTCAATGTGCACAGATCCGTGCACCAGGCCTTTAGTAAAGTAATAAGCTTAAAGCTGCAATATGAGATTTAAGATTGGTCATGAAACTAATATAATGTGATACATCAATTATATTTATTAGAAAAAAGATTGCTCAACTGTTTGTGTTCTGAAACCTGTCATTAAAGGGGATGGTAGAATTTGCAGCCCTGATGGAGCTATCAGAAAGCTAAAACATCTAGGTGTACAGACTCTATTACACAGCATTGTAGGGACAGAAATACCCGTTTTTATGCCTCTTACCTTTAAATAAAGCATTCCAACTTTTCATTCCTTAGAACACATGATTAATTTGAAGCACTTATGAAACAGTTGAGGCTGCAATTAATATTTTCAAAAACAAAAAAATTACTTTCAATGTTCTGTACCCAAAACGCTTCATGTTATTTTAACCAGTTAGTCAATGCAGGTTATGGGGGATGGGTTAGAAAAAGACCGGTTTATCATATTCAGTGGATATGTTCCAATTATAACATTCCAGATTTATTTTAGGATCAAAGCTGACAAGTAATAGACTAAATTGTCACTTTCTGAAGACATGGATTCCTGATTAGGAATTTAAAAATGCAAGCTCCACTGTTCACCAACCTTTGGGGATGATAGGAATTGTGACTTAGGGCGGTCACATCATTGTTGAGTACCTTCTACTTCCTATAAACTAGACTTTGATTGAGACACAGGATCGAAGGCTTTGCTAGGCAGGAATTAGCCTGATTACTGGTTACCCATTATTTTTATAGAATGTTCAAAAGTTTATATGTAAGCATTACTCTAAGACAGTGGTTCTCAACCTTCTGGCCCTTCAAATACAGTTCCTCATGTTGTGACCCAACCATAAAATTATGTTCGTTGCTACTTCATAACTGTAATTTTGCTACTGTTATGAATCGTAATGTAAATATCTGATATGCAGGATGGTCTTAGGCAACCCCTGTGAAGGGTCATTCGACCACCAAAGGGGTGGCGACCCACAGGTTGAGAACCGCTGCTCTAAGAGATAATAATAATCTATGTTGTAATGCAGAAAACACTGATGGATGGACATGACATACACCAAAAAGTAACAAATAAGCAGAACAAACCAACCCACCAAATTTTTTAACTTTCTAGAGGAAAATTGGCAAGCAGGCCATGAAACGGGACAAGATGATGATTAATGGATTACTGAGTGCTTAGACTTGACTATTTTGGAGAATTTTGTACTTTAGCATCTTAAATGTTGTATCACTTTAAGACTTTTGCATTTTAATATGTCACTGTGTCTAAGAAGTAAATCTATTTCAAACCTGGGGTTGGGAGTGACATCAACGATGGAGACAGGGAAGGAAACAGAAGAAAGAACATGTGGGAAAGACAAGCCCCTTGTGTTACAATTAGAATGTTCGAATTTAAAAAATATATAAATTTCACATTAATTACATCTTAACTATGGTTTGAGTATTTCCTTTTTATCAAACACTGCTAAAAATTCTGGGGATAATTCAATGATAAAGGGGTGGGAGAGGACAGTAAAAAGTGTCCAAGAATACTATGATTCTGGCTGATAAAATCCTTATTATGATTGAAAGTCATTTGTATAATTGTCAACTATAAGTTTTAAATATAAATTAATACAAAAAAACTCTCATCTAATTAAATATTGTAGTTCAAACCATACATTTACACATCAGTTTCCCTCCCACAAAAATACAGGGATAAACTTATAAGACAAATTCATGAGGACATGAAGAATGGGAGAGGAAACAACACACAAGAGATGTCCAAATTCTGTGGAGTATTATGCTAAGTAAAATAACTCAAAGACAAGTATCACGTGATCTCACTCATAAGTGGAATCTAATTAACAAAATAAACTGATGAATGGAGTGGATCCAGAGACATGGAAGCATGGAACAGAGTGTGGAATCTCAGAGGGAAGGCGGGGGAGAGGTGGGTGGGTGGGTGGAAGGTAATCAAACAAAGACCTTGTATGCATACATGCATCACCCATGGACCCAGACAAGAGGGTGGTGAAGGCCTGGGTGGGGGTGGACAGGAGGGGTCAATGTGGGGAATAAGGGGACACATGTAATACTTTCAACAATAAAGATTTAAAAAAAGATGTCCAAATTTTGTAAGCTGGAAATAGAATAGACAAAGAATAAGTGAATCAGCAGACAGAAAGGAAGTAGAGAGAATGAGTGCAGTAGAGGGGTCCCTATCCTGAGAAGGCAGTGTCTCAGAAAGTGGGTGCTGTAAGATGGGGCTGGCAATGAGAGCATTAACTCCGAGTTTGTAAGACGAGTTGGATCCCTAACTCAGCCCAATTCAACCAAATAACTGTCTCTTTAGAGCAGTGGTTCTCAACCTTGGCTGCACATTAGAATCACCTGGGAATCTTTTTAAAATCCTGATTTCTGGGCCGTTGAGGCAATCACAATCCCTTTGACTATTCCCTCGCCCACCTGGGATCTTCAGGGGTGGGTGAGGGACATCAGGAGCACCACTGAGGCCCTGGACCCAGGTTACTACAGCAGTTAAGGGAGACCCTGGAACTCTCGCTGCTGCGGCCTCCGCGGCCCAGAAATCAGGATTTAAAAAAGATTCCCAGGTGATTCTAATGTGCAGCCAAGGTTGAGAACCACTGCTTTAGAGGGATATTCAGAGAAGAGAAAGCTCTCCAAGATATCAGAAATTAAGATAACTAAAAGGTTAGATGATAAAAGCTGAAGAAAACATGGAAAAATTAGAACAAAAAGGCAGAGAGAACACAGAACAGGAGAGAAAAGATAAAGCCAGAGGATCAGCTCAGAAAGTACAATACACCTAATTAACAGGAATTCCAGAAAGAGAGAACAGAGAAGACAGAGGGAAAGAAATCATGCAAGAAATAACACACGACCAACTTCCCAAACTGAAAGGCATGAGTTTACAGGTGCCTAACCCTCACAAAGTAGCTAGCACAATGAATAAAGACTGACCTCAATGCCTATCGTTCTGAGATGTCAGACCCCAAGGGAACATGAAAAGATCCTCAAACCTTCCCAGGGAGAAGACAGAACACACATATAACAAATGAAAATCAGAACTCCAGGCCCTGACTGGGTAGCTCAGTTGGTAGAGTGCCGTCCTGATATACTTCTTGATAGGTTTCGGGTTCAATCCCAGTCAGGGCATAAATAAGAATCAATCAATGAATGCATAAGTAAGTGGAACAACAAATCGATGTTTCTATTTCTCCCTCCCTTCCTCTCTCTGTAAAACCAATCAACCAATTAAAAAAACCCCAAAACAAACAACAACAAAAAACACCCCTCTTGTCCTCTCAACTGCAACCCTAGAAGCTACAGGACAAGCCAGCAGTCATGACACCAAGATAGTGAGAGAAAATGATTTCAAATCTAGAATTCTATACCCAACCAATCTTCAATTAAACATGACTGAATAATGACATTTTCAGTAGGCAAAATCTCAACGTATGTGCTTCCCATGCACCCTTTCTCAGGAAATTGCTAAAGGATGATACACTCCATTAAGTAAAAGTCCAGACTAAGAAAGGCAAAAATACAGGATTCAGGAAAGAGCATTTACTAGGGGGAAGAAACAAATGATGGTGACGAACACCTTAGTACAATAGTTATGAAACAGACTTAAAGAAAAACATTTCAATGGCAAAGTTTAAATTAGAGAGATGTGGTCCAAAAAAAAAATAAAAAGCAAATAATAACATGAATTAGTAATTTTAGAGATATGAGAAGTTTTAGAAAAAAGGATATATCGCCATAGCATACTTCATAAGTATTAGATGTTGAAAAATGGATCAATAAATAACACAAATAGCAGAAGCTTATTGTTTAGAAACAGGAAACTAGCAGGGGAATGAATGAGAAGTCTCTCTCAGGAGGCCTGGAGGGCGTCTATTTTAATAAGCTGCATTGCACTAGCTTGACTTTGTAAACTATAAACACATATTATTGATAAAATTAGAAGTTAAAGAAATCTTCCAAATTTCTGCCCATCCTTTGGGCCTAGCGGCTCTAATCTGGAGGAATTACAACATGATATTAAGACTAAAACAGTAAGGCTGAAATAGGTAAAGGTGGAAGAAACAGAACCAAAAAGAAGATAAAGAGCAAGCTGGTAAGAATTTCTCGTACTCACCATCTCTCTGGCTATTTCCAGCGCTTCCTGCAGGCCATAGAGCCTGCCGCAGACCAGGTAGATTCCATTGGCCCAGAGAATGCAGCCCTCATGGACCCAAAATTCATTGCTGTCAAGAGGTAGTTCAGGGATTTGTAACTCCAGCTCAGGGCCACCTTCTGAAGTGGTGGGCACAGAGGGCTTTGAGTCCAAAACAGTCTTTTCGCTGCCGCCCTCTGTGGTTGCTTTTTTACAGGGAAGCCCCCGGGCCAGGGACCGAGGGCCTCCACCACAGTCTTCCGAGCGGTGCCGCCGCTTAAACCTGGGGTGGGCGGCCAGGCTCCTCTGCTCCTTCTGCTGCTGCTGCTCCTCCTCCTCCTCAGTGTCCGTCTTGGAGCCGTTGGAAGCGCTTTTGTGCCGTACCTTAACTTTGCTCTGCATTTCCGTGGCCCTCTTAGGAGGTGGGTTTTTCGGGAGAGTGGCTGCATAATCTTGGGGATAAAAGGGTCCAAAGAGGTCACCCATGTTCCGGTAACTGGCCCACTTGCCGCACAGACAGCAAACCAGGTGGCCCATCACAGAAGACTCAGTCACCACAGGTCCCTGCAGCATGAAGGACGAGGCTGGGAGCGCCTTGCTCTCAGTGCTGCTGGGTGGCGGGGTCAGAGACCTCTGCCCCTTCCGACCCCTCACCAATTTGGTCTGTTCTTCTTCTTCAGCATTGATGATTGTACAAACGGCTCCAAGTTCACACTTATTTACTACATGAATATAAGGGAAAAAAGACTTGTTCTTGGCATCACTTTTGTCCAGTGGCTGGGTGGCATACTTTAGTTTGATCTCAGGTTCTTGGGGTTCTACGATGGGAACTGCTTGTTTGGTTTTCCGCTTCCTTGGCTGTGCCCCAGGCTTCCTTCTCTCCCTCCTTTGTCTCTGCTTTTTTGGCTTTGGCTCTCCATCTGCAGAACCTTCTGGTATCTGGGGGGGCTGAGGGGGTGGAGGTGGTGGCTGCTGCTGTTTCTTTTGCTTATTCACACTACCAATGGGTCTCCCCTTCTTCTTTCCTGAAGGGAAGTACCCCTTTGGGGGGAAACCCTCTGGTTTGGGGGAAATCGTCACTGCATCGGTCTCCTTCTCTTCAGCCTTCGGATTTGTCTCAGGGGCCAGTCCGCCAGCTGCAGGTACATTCTTTGAGTCAGGAAAGATTAAAGGCGCTGCCCCACCCAGGGAACCATCTGGTCTCCCTTGGTTACTCCCAGGTTTCTGTGAGGTTGCGGATGTCATGGCACCAGGGGGTTCCTTTCCAGCAGTGACCGTATCTGGGTGTGTCTCAGTCTTCATCTTGTCGTCCCCACTGCCACGCCACTCCTCTGAAGACCTTGCAAGAGGCTTTTCTATGTTCAGCTCCTTGTTTGTTGGACAGACCAGGTCCACCTCACCCTTTCTCTTCTCCATCTCGGCCTCCTGAGCAGCATCACGCCCACCTTCAGGAGGGCCGCTCTTCAAAGACAGTATGTCATCCAAAGTGACTGTGTCTCCCCCAGCCTCTGCACTGTTCGAGGACGCACTTCTCCTAATATTTGGGGAAGTGATCTTCTGAACTATAGCTTCCAATTTCAGTCCCCGTCCTTTGCGTGGGGGCAGGATTTTGGTCTTAGCAGGACTTGTGAGGGTAACAGGAGGGCAGTTTCTATTGTCTGAACTTGTGAGGTCCTTGGCGGATTCTCTCTTGGGAATGGACTTGAAGTCCTGGCTGTGAGAAAGATGGGCATAGGAATTGAACGCTTTATCGGCGCCTTCTTTTGAGGGGTGAAGGAGGCGTCCTCTATCTTCAATGTTGCTGTTTTTCGAGTCTTGTGTCTGTCTTTTACTGGGAATGGGAGAGATAAAAGAACGGACACGCCTCCTCATGATGAGGGGGTTTTGAGAAGAATGATCCTCTTGCCCTGGAAGCCTCAGCATAACATTGCTAGGTTTGGATGACTGTGTAGACTCAGCCAGTCCATGCCCATCAGTCTCATGGGGTGGTCCATATCTTTTTTGATTGGACATTCCTGGAGGGCAGCTGCTTTTGGCTGGAGAAGTCTGCCGAGAAAGATCCCAACAAGATTCTTGCTGTAACTTCTGGGAGCCATGCTTCAATTCGATGCCTTTGTTAGACAGACCATCACTAGACATGAGGCAGCGCCCTTCCTGACCGCTGGGGTCATGGTAAGTCCCCATCGGTGGGCCATACATCATACCATCTTTGTCATTTTTCAGAGGGCTCCGCACTCTGTCCAGGAACTGCTGCTGCCTTGGGCTCTTCCGGGCCCCCTCCTGCCTGTGCTGGGCCGCGGCGATCACTCCCTGAGCAGAGCTGCTGCTCCAGTCCTTATATTCCTCTTGTTGCTGTTGGTACATCTGCCTCTTGTAATGGAGCTGAGAATTCAAACCTGCACTGGGATCCCCATAAGCATGAGCCCGCGTGTTTGTGTGATACGCAGAGGCCAGGCTTTCTGAGTTGGGAGAAAAGGGAGCATGTAATGAACTCCGGTTGGCCCTCTCTGTAAAGGTCATATGTGGGTTCATGTGATGAGGGTCTCCCCCTGGGCCCCTGCTCCTCCCGGGAGACATCTTCAGTTTTTCTGAAAAGTCATGATACTGAGAAGGGGACCGACCCCTCATGCCCTCCCGACCACCCATTCTTCCAGCGACCCGCCGCATGGGCGTGGGTCTGCTGTCTTGAGGGCCATAGTCTGAGATGGAGTCATGGGTGGCAGCTCCAGGGCTGGCATTGCCTCGGTAAGACTCGTGCTTGATGCTAGCAGGATGGCAGTGGTCTCCAGATTTCTTGTTGTTGAAACTAGCTTGGGATTTGGATTGCTCAAAGTCTTCCTCTTTTATCTGCCCGCTCTGGGATTTTAGTTTTGTTTCCATGGACACCAAACCACCTGGAAGAATGACCGACTGACTTAAACTTGGATTGAGACGTTCATTCCTCCCAAGTCTGGTGTCAGCACCCATGTGACCCAGTGAGTGAGCCCCCGGGTCCCTGACAATCTGTCTTAGTGGAGAAATGTCACAGATCACTGATCTTCTTTCGGAGAGGGAACCCCCGGGCTCATGGGCTGATGACTGAGGCTCTATTTCAAACTTTCTGGGAATTGGATAGTCAGCCAAATTGATCTGTTTCATTTCTGGAGCTGAGCTGCCTGATTTCCTCTCCCAGGGACCCCAGTGGGGGTTTTCTAATAGGGACCCAATGCTTTTGTTCAAAAGGCCCCTGCTAGCTAATTCATTGGTTTGACTAATTAAGACATTAGGCCTCGAGGTTCCTTCTAGACCACCAGCCATGCCCTGATGCTCCTGAGTACTCCTAGAGTATCTCCTGTCAGGGTGGTGGTGGTAACCCTGAAGCACTTCCTGCAGGAGGCTGGGGAACTTCTCATTTCTACCCTTCCGCTCCCCATGGCCAGTGAAATCTCCCTTATCTTGTCCTGTAGGATACTGAGGAAAGCCACCGACACTTCTTGGCATGGCTGACCCAAAGCTGTCTTTGTAACTATAGCGCAAGCTTCCGGGAGATTTGCTAGGCTCAGTTCTGCCTATGAAGCCAGGGCCTACTGTGGGGTGCCCGCTCTGGCCATTGCCCTCTCCATTGTGGTTGGGGTTATCGCCACTCTTGTTTCCTTTGCCCCCTCCTCCTGGAGGCTCTGGCTGTGAAACTGATGCATGACTGATTTCCTTGGGCCCACCTGTGCTGGGTGGCCTTTGAGTGGCTGTGGGATCATCCTCTTGAGAGCCTTTATCTTGCCCACCAGGCTTTTCTGCCCGAGTCGTCATGGCTTCCCGGGAGACAATCACCCCAATGGTCTTCTCATTGACTTTTGGGTTGCCCTCGGATGATGATGGCGTGTCCTTAGCACCTGGCGAGGCCGCCTCTTCTCTGGCTGCAGGACTGGCGCTGAGTCTGGGGGCTTCATTCTGAGCGCCTTGTGCTGGGGAGGAGCCGGCTTTCTCTGAGGCTCCACCCTTATAGGTGGTGTCAGAGCTAGTGCTCTGGCCACTCAGCTGCCTGACTCTCTCGCCTTGATCCTCAGAACTGCTGGAGCAGCCTCCATCCAGTGACTCTGCCATGGGGGACTTCAGCTGTTCTTCAGGCTGGGAGGAGCCTTCAGAGTTTGTGCAGCTGTCTGCTTTCTTGGAAGAGGAGGGCCTCTTGGAGGTCTTCTTCTGAGGTGTCAGGGCATCAGAAAGTAGCATGTGCTGGACAGTATTAGGAAGATTGGCCACTTGAGTACTCAGGGCACTCAAACTACTCAACCCAGGGTCTGTCAGGCGCTTTTCTGGCACGCCTTCTAGTCCAAACCCTTTGAAGCCGGCGGCATGAGAATTAGGGCTGGGCATCATCGATGGGGTTGGGCTGAGCTGAGGCATTAACTGCAGGATTCTGTTTCTAGAACCCATGGGCACACTGCCTTGGCCGCACTGGAGATTCTCCCCACTCTGCATAAGAGGGGATGGGGTCGAGCTACAGCTTGGAGACTGAACCACAGAGGCAGCTGGGGAAGGGTTAGAAATGGGGCTGAAGTTCTGGTGGAACTGCATGGGGGATCTCACAGGAACCTCGGGCTGGTTGTACTGCCCCACTTGGCTCTGCAAGGGCAGCTTGGTGGCAGCGTTGGAGAACTGCATCACGTGCTGTGGAGCGTGCTGCTGCTGAGGCTGCTGCTGCTGAGGCTGCTGCTGCTGAGGCTGCTGCTGTGCCTGCTGCTGCTGTGGCTGCTGCTGCTGCCCCTGCTGGGTTCCTTGTGGAATCTTCGCTTGTTCAAAATTTTTCATAGATTGAGGCTGATAGCTGTAATTTGATTGTGAACCATAAGCCTGTGCGTTAGAACCCACATTATGCCCTTCATACTGGGATCCAGCATTCACACTGTAACTGCCGTCATAGCTCTGCCCAGACTGGCTGAAACGTTGTGGTGACGGGAAGGAGGAGGAGGAGGAGGAGGAGGCGGCAGAAGATTGGTAGTGCTGGCCAAACTGACCCACTCGTAGCTGGTAGCCAGCGGCAGATGGCAGCGTGGAGGGCCTCTGCATCGGCTGCAGGTGGGACGAGCCTGACGCTGGCTGGCCAGTGGCTTGTGGCAGAGGCTGATGGGACTGGTAAAGCTGTTGTCTCAGCTGCTGGACTTGCTGCTGCTGCTGCTGGCTGGATGCCTGCTGCTGGTACTGAGCACTCCCTGGAGAGAAAGGCCCCGTGTAGTCCTGCTGATAATGAGACACGCCACCAAGGCCAGAGTGCTGTGCTTGAAACTGGCCCACATGACCCTCACTCCCATACTGATTGCCAAAGCTGCTCCCCTGGGGGGGTCCATAGCTTTGCACAGGCCCAGAAGGCCTTCGCTGAGGAGGCTGCGGGGTGCCCGCCGCCACGGGGTCTTTGTTGCCTGCCATGTAGTAGAAGTCTCCAGCCTCTTTCCTGAAACCCTGGTAGCCTTGATGGCCAGAGGTCTCACTAGCCATTGCTGCTGCAGCCGCTGCTGTCCCTCGCCGCCCACCACCACTGCTGCTGCCACTGCTGCCACTGCTACCACCTGCGCCCCCAAAATTCTGGAACATCTGGGCCTGGCGAGGGCTGAACTCTTCTAGCCGGGAGGAGCCGTGTACCTCCTGTGGGTAGCTCTGCTGGTTTCCGTGGTAACTGCTTTGCTCCCGAAAGGACTGCATACTGTTCAACAGCACAGTGGCGGGCCAACAGCCCTCCTGGAAATGAAAGAAAAAAGAAAGAGAGTGAGACATGCGTCCTCCTAGTACAAATAAATCAAGTCTAGGTGATGGAGGGGCTATGATAACCCAGCTGTCCAGATGAAACTGACTGGTTTGAATTTCATCTCCTTTTATTTCTTAGCCTACCCATTTCTGAAAATGAAAATATGCAGAGAAATGGTCTAAAGAGTGAGGCAGAAGTCTATGCTAGTATGAAAAGAAGCACTCTGGGTAAAAACAAATTCAATACAGTAAAAACCTCATTATTAAATGAGCCCCTTCCAATTCAACTGGGTAAAAATATAGGACTATGTTATTACTCTCAATTAAAAAACAGCAATTTTTAAATATTTTCCAGTTATGGTGGGGAGGGATGAGAAGAACACTTTCATTTATTTGCTTTCATGTTATTAGACTGGTTACTGAACTAAAGAGTCTAAAAAATAATGATGCTATTCCACTGCCTAACCCCTCCTGGAATTTGAGAAATGGATTGGCCTGAGAACTGGTCAATCCCTTGTATTCAAATGCGTGTTACAGCAGGTCACTGTAATTACCACTACCACAGGGATGCCTTACTGCAGTCAGCCACACAAACTTAAGGAAGGGTAACCTCTTCTTGACACATAACTGTATCCAAGGCACCCCTCAACCATCCATCAACGCACAGGTACAAAGGACAAGGCTGCATAAGTCAAATAGCCGTGACTATTCTTGAAGATTCTTTTTGGAGGTCTGCAAGACGTTACAGCACCTCTGATCCCCACATAGTTTTTTATTTGGCAATCAGAGTTATTAATGGTGATTACTATAAAAGAGGGAGTAGAAACAGTCACTTTGGAGGACAGCAAAAGATAGAGGAAAAGAATTCATCAAGCCTAAGACCTAGACTCTTCCTAAAGTCACCAGATTGGGTCAACACTTTGTAATACCTCTGCTAATGTAATTAGCACATAACAGAATGCTCTTTTTAAACAGTTAAACAAGAGCTGATTTTACTTTGTCTTTTGCCGGGGCCTGCCTAATTCAGAGTCAGAGATGAATAAGACAAGGCCAAACTGTTCCAAATGACTTTAAAGTCAATTATTTAAAAAAGAAGTTACGACTCGGCCAGCACTGCTCAGGTCATTGAGTGCTAATCTATAAACCAGGAGGTCAAAGTTCGATTCCAAGACAGAGCACATGCCCAGGTTGTGGGCTTGATCCCCAGTGTGGGGTGCGCAGGAGGCAGCCAATCAATGATTCTCTCTCATCATTGATGTTTCTAGCTCTCTCCCTCCTCCTCCTCTCCAGAATCAATAAATACATATATTTTTTAAAAAGAAGTTATGAAACACACATGAGCTAGGGTAAGCTAGGACACCTTTTTCTACAATAGCTTATGAAGTTAGTTTCTTAGTTCCCTCTCAGGGGGAGCTGAAAATGGAGTTATTGGCAGAAAGGTGGCGATACTTTTAAAAGTAAGTCAGACTCCTCATGTCCAAGCCCTGCAGTGGTGCCCCATCATATTCTAAGTGAAGATGGCCTGGAAGGCCCGGCTCCCACCCCATTGCCTCTGTGACTGCCTCTCCTATCCTGTTCTGCTCTATTCCACGCTGTCTCCTAGCTCCTGGGATGGGCCACTGGTATTTCTACACAGGAACTTTGTTCTTGCCTGTGCTCTTCTTCCTCCATAGCCACATGGCTTGTCCCTCTTCCTTTGTCTCTAAGCAAATGTCACCTGATTAGTAAGGCTTTCCCTGGCCATTTTACTAAAAAACAGCTAACTATATACCCTTGCCCAGGCTTTGCCAATCTCCTTCCCCCATGTTAGCTGCTCCCCAGTACTTACTCCCAGCAGACACGGATATGCTACTTGTCTACTGTCTGTATCTTCCCCACTAGAATATAAGTTTCCTAAAGGGCAGAGACTTTGAGCCTTGCTGCAATATCACGTCACTGAAACAGTAAGGAGCACACGGCAGGCCTTCTTGCGAACCAGTAAATGGTACAAGAACTAGGCCTTAAAGAACTAGATAGAACTTATATATAAATAGAACATGATCGATCTAAAAGCAGAGCTGAAGATGCTGAAGGCTTGCCTATCAAATTCTCCAGGTTCAGTTCCAAGGGGAAAAACCCAACTTGAATCCACATAAGAGCCATGAGGAGACTTCAGAAAGTAAACACGGATCGGGCTGAAGATGGCCAGTAACTCCAAACCCTAGAAGCTTGACTCACTTCTTCCTGAAATATCTTACGTCTAAAATAAGTCGACGAGGGGCTGTTACTTTGGTAATAAGTTTGATTATAATCACATGACCCAAAGTCATCTTTAAACATTCAAATAATCTCAGAATCTAAAGGAAACCATTTCTCATCCTCTTCAAAATGCCTTGACAACAGACTATTTTCTGTGTTCCAATGAATCTGCTTGGCAACAGGCACCAGCTTATTGTAATGTTCGGCCTCACACACTAACCATTAATGCACAGAACACTACTATCCTCACTTTACAGATGAGGAAACCAAATCACAGGGTTAAATGACTCCTGAGCAGCAGCAGTCTCCCCCTTGTTCCTAGCACTGCATAACCCAGAGGGCCTATGATAGGGACAGCTGGCACTTGTCCTGTCTGAGGTTGGCCTTGAAAGTGAGTGGCCACCATCAATACCTTTTAAATATGTCCTTCTTTCCCCCTTTGGTCTTCTCTACATGATAAAAGGCAGCTGATGGTTTAAAGCCAACAAAAAGACTAAGTCTGGCAGTTCAATGCAAAGCTTCCTAGAAAGAGAATCATTCCATAAATTACTACATGGTTGTTTAATTAATCCTTCTGTAAATAAAATCAGGCTTCTGAAAAATTCAAGTATATAAGCAATGTTGCCACTTGCTCCAAATTTCTCCTAAACAGGAGCCCTAAGAGCTAAGGACAACTCACTTTAACATTAGCATGTCCCACCTTAGGCCGCCTGTTTCCTAAGAAAACCCGAGCTCCAGAAAAGAAAACATTTAGGTGCAATTCCTTCGAAGGCCTGTTCTCAGCTCTTCTCCCCCTGTTGTTATAGTTCTGGTTTATGGACTAGATGGAGAAAACAACAACAACAAAAAACAAGCCCACAGCCAAGGACCTCCTGTGAGGTACCAGTCAAGCTAAATATTCTTAGCATACAGGAAGTATTTGAGCACCAGAAAGTGGGTACAAGTCCATCTTTTTTAGGAGTCCCAAGTAAAGCAATCAGAAAACCAAATATACCAGAACTTAAGAATGTAAACCCAGCGTAACTGTAATTTTAAACATTAGCATATAAGACAAGGTACTGATAGATCATTCCAATACTATCCCCATTTTAATAAAGCAAAGCATCAGTGTCATCAGTTTTAAAGCACTGTGATTAATAATGACAACGGCCTGAATTTCTTTGTTTAAATGAATACAGATGTAGTTAAAATCTGACACTTCAAAGGAAGTAGGTCATCCACTGGAGCCTGCACACATACTCTGCAAATGAGGTTCCAGGGCACCTCCCTCCCCAGCTCTCCCTTGGCCTGATTTCCCTTTCCTGGTCTTCTCGCACTTTCCTAACTTCCTGAATGGTTTCAGAAAGCCTCTGGCGGCGACTAGTAAGTGAGGTCCAGAACTTAGTGCCTTTACGTTCGCCGGCCCAGAGTCCACACACTGACCTCACGACAACCACTGCAGCCGCGTCTCCCTCCTAGCACGGGGCCTTGCTGTCTACAGGAAACCAACAGCAGCTTCCTTTGTTTTCTTCCTTCACAGGTCGGACATCACCCCACTCCCCTCCATAAAGTTCTCCAAACTGTCCTCAAGGCAGTTTCCTGGAGCGAGCTTTTTAAGGACCCGCTTCCTCTTTAAAAAATAAAAATAAAAAATAAAAATTAAATATATTTTTATTGATTTCAGAAAGGAAGGGAGAGGAAGAGAGAGAGAAACATCAATGATGAGAGAGAATCACTGAACGGCTGCCTCCTGCACATCCCCTACTGGTGATCCAGCCTGCAATCCAGGCATGTGCCCTTGACTGGAATTGAACCTGGGACCCTTCAGTCCACAAGCCGACACTCTATCCAATGAGCCAAACGAGCTGGGGCCCACTTCCTCTTTCATTTCAGGTTTAACCAATGATTTTGTGCTCATTCTCTTTCTTTGCCCTGAAGGAATGCTTCAGTCCTCAAGACATGAACAATATATACGCAGCCCTGGCCAGACAGCCCAGTTGGTTCGAGCATCATACCGATAGGCCAAGGTTGCAGGTTCAATCCTGGGCCAGCGCACATATAAGACTAAACCAACGAATGCATAAATAAGTGGGACAACAAATTGATGTTCCTCTTTCTTTCTCAAAACAACAACAACACATATGCTTCTAGTTATCGCCTGGTGGGTTATTCTCTTTGCCCTCCAGTCTCACTCCTCACCCATCTCCTTTCTACTCTATGCTCTGGGAGGGGGCACCACAGAGATTGTCAAAAGGCTCTGCTGTCCCTCTGGCATCTGGCCCAGTTTGGTTGGGAAAAGGCAGGAGGAGAGTGAGGAGGAGGAATTCACTCTTCCGGCTCCTACCCTGCAGCCCCTGAGGCTGGCTGATCCTCCTCGTGCCTTTCAGGCCTGTGGGTAATAACACCTGCTATTGCTCGCCTGGTGTCCCTTAACCCTGACCACCTTCTATACAGTCCCAGTTCTGCACTGGTCAACTCAGCGCATCGTGATCACCCTCTTTCTAAGTTCTCCTCTGCAGATCAGGAGCTGGGAGCTACCTTTCCAGAACCCCTTTCCAGCATGGTCCTGGTTAGAGCTGGCAAAGAAGCACCAGAAAGATTTGGAAGGCAAAGGAAGGGAGGCTGACACACCCAGAGGCAGCTGCAGCAGGCACAGGCACACAGTGGCTTCCCCGGGTGCTTTTGTCTCAGACACTCAGGAGCAGCTTCCCTGACCTTCCAAGGGATGGGCAAGCCCTTAATCCCTCTATCAAAACTCTTCAGACCTGGCATGGAAATCTTCCCCCTTCCTGAATGAACCCAAGATGAATGATACAATTAAACGCTCCTCAAATTCCCCAGTTTGAGTGTGCCATCTGTTTCCTACCAGGACCCTGACTAATATAGTTCTTCTCTCACTCCCAGTATTTCAGAGTAGAATATTATCACTTGGGGAGTGAGAGACTTCTATTTCATGCAATATGGCATACCAGAGGGACTGGAAATCCTCCCTCCACAAAACACCTAGAAACGTCAGACCAAGTGTACAGCCAAACAGCAAGCAAGCGAGACACGCCCAAGGTTCAAAACTGGAGGGAAAACAAAAACAGCAGCAGGCAGGTGCTGGCTCGGACTGCCAGGGTGGGTGGGTCTGCAGGACCTAACAGCCAAATGGCAATGTCTTAATGACCACGCAGGGGCAGGAGACAGGACTCCAGACAAGGCCTAGGTGGTAACGGGGAGACAGAGCAATCACTTGTGCACATGAAGACTGAATGAGCAGTGTCACTGTGTCTAGATTAATTTCTATAAAGGTGACAAAATATATTTATTCTTGGGAAATCACCAACTCAATTTTAATGACCAAAAAATGTGGTTCTTTCTTCCACTGACCCAACTTACCGCCCTCAAGAAAAACTACAATCCTCTTAGATACCCTAAGTAAGAAGCTTTAGAATAACCCCAAACTCCTTTAACTCTGCACTTAAGACATTACCTAATCCTGCTCTTCCTCCATTCCCTGTACCTGCCCTCACCTCCCCAGCCCTATCACTGACATTTTCATCTTTCTGGGAGTGGCATAGCCTCTCCAGAAGATCCCTCTCCCAGCACCAACCACGTGGAGCAGCTTTTCGCCCCCTGCCCTCCTGACAGTGCTGCTCCCCCCACATGCTGTGAAGCCACTGACATCTTCAGCCCAGTTTCTGCTCCGCTCCCCCACCAACAAACCTGCTGGGCGCCAGGCGCCCTCTGCGCATTGCTCCACTCACCCGGAGGCCGGCTCTGAAGCATCCCTAGGTCCATAAGCTCCTTCCTGCCCGGTCAGGCCACATGGCTCCCAGGACCTTAAGAGGCCCTGAAATGTGATCTTCTCCACAAAGTCTTCCTTAAAGCAGAGATTTTGCTGGCTTTTCTCCCTCAGTACAAATAAACAGCGAAGTGAATTTGCCCTTCATCAGTATATAGGTATGTGCTACTGATGAAGCAGTGTCAGACTAAGAAACTTTGTGGTACTTATTTATTTTTTTAAAAAAGAGGGTATTAACATGGAGAGTGTAGAACTGAGGACTCGAAGTTTGGAAATGTTTTTGGCTCCACTGACTCTATGTAGCACAGAGGGCTCTTTCTAGCATTGAATCGAAGAAACTGATCTGTGCTTTACACCATTACAACCTGAACATATTTCCCAAGGACAGTGACAGGCTGGTGCCACACCACAGAAGCCTTCACGGAAGCAGCAGTGGCACTGATACTCGGTAAGGTGGCTCCTGTGGGCCTGTGCAGAGGATCTTGGGTCCTCAGCAAAGAATGTGCAGCAGTGTGCTCTGAACCCCACCAGCCAGGCCTGGGAGGCTGAATATGCAGTGCTGGGGGGACGGTCCTCGGCACGGATACAGGTCAGTAGCCGACGGACTGGGATGTAATCTCTGTACTCACAACTGAGGTGCCGTGAGTGAGAGGGAACCTTCTGCAAACCCTACAGATATTGCCCTTTCAGGGAAAGGAAAAATTCCGCCCAAAGCACAGAAACTCAGCTCCATTCTATCCTAGGGGGCCACCGTCTTATTTATATGTGGTCCACTGTTGACCGAAACCTTGTTATGCAGCATATGTATGACTGTAAGTATGTTAGTATCTTTTGACCCAGTAACTCTGTTTACTAGATTTTTATCCTAGGCAAATCTCAAAACAACCAAACAGAAATCAAAGTACCAACATATTCACTCCAGGGATATCTAAGAGAAAAGACTGGAAAGAACCTAATTCTTTATCATTTGAAAATGATTAAGCAAATTATGGTATATCCGTGCAACAAAATAGTACATGCTCATTAAAAATAATTATAAAGATTCTAGCACCATGGGAAACGCTTATTAGGTATAGTCAGATAAAGAGAAGTAGCACATAAGCTCATCCCCGTGCTACAGGTACAACTATCTAGAAATCAGGCATCTGTTTTGTCCAAGCCCCCCAAAATAATATGGAAACATCAAAACTTTTTGACTATTCAGGTTGGCAGGATTGTGGATTAATTTTCTCCCTTTTCATTTCTACTTACATTAATGCTTGTGTAGAAAATAACCACTCAAAAATTTTATTAGTCTCATTTAAAAAAATATACCCCTCACTCTACCTCAGAGATATCTTCGCTCTATCTGCTCCTACTGGCAAGAAAGCACTTCCCTGCCTGAGAGGAAGAAAGGGAGGCCCAGGAGACCCCACAGTCCAGAGGCAGGTGGGGGAGAGAGGCACTTGCCAGGAATACGCTCTGCTCCCGGAAACCTGGCACCAACACCACACGCACGTGGTGCCCAAGTGAGTGTTCACACAGAAATCATCGCCTCTGAGCTGTTTTTCAAAATCAGCCCTAAAAACAGCTGAAATCCACCCCACAGCGGGCAGGCCTATTTTTAGACCTAATTTCCAACAGCTAGGAGGCTGTAGCACCCTATCAAACGCATGCTTCTCTGACTGCAGGGAAATGCCCCAATATGCCAGGCCAGCCCAACCAGTGTGGCTCAATGGTTAAACATCGACCTATGAACCAGGAGGTCAGGATTCGATTCCCGGTCAGGGCACATACCTGGGTTGCGGGCTTGATCCCCAGGGGAGGGGGCATGCAGGCGGCAACCGATCAATGACTCTCATCATTGATATTTCTATCGCTCTTTCCCTCTCCCTTCCTCTCTGAAATCAATAAAAATATGTATTTTTTTAAAATGCCAGGCCAGAGGAGCCTGGGGCCCCTCCCCACTTAATGGGTACCTGTCGAATAGTGGCAGGGGCATCCCAAGATTAATTTAAATGACCAATTTGTGGCAAAATGGCCAACAATTCTTGAAAAAGGGGCAGTAGAAGGTGGGGGGCCAGTGGGGCTATCTCTGGGGCCAGCTGGGTCTCCCTGCGGGTTTTCCTAAATTATTGAGCTTGAGCTCCTAAGATGTTACTGAATAATTTTCTCATTCCAAGGTTGTTGAGTACATAATTTCTAAACCTTCACAGACAAAATCACAGAAAGCAATTAGTGTTGCCACTTATTGGCAAAAAGTGTCTCATTTTATAATAGCAACAAAATTAAAAAAATACCAGAGGACTAATCCAAAGCAGAATTGGACAAAAGCTCTCTGATGAAAATTATAAACTTTACCAAAGGACCCAAAAGAAGAATTCACAATAAAAAATAAACAAGTCAAAAGAATATGCAACACATCTAGGTGAAAAGACTCAGTATCATAAAGAGGTCAAATTTTCACACATCCATTTATAAAAATCTCAATTCCAGTCAAAATCTCAATAGGGTATTAAAAAATAATTTTGAAATAATTTCAAATGTACAGAATAGTAGTGCTTACATACCCCTCAACAATTCCCCAACTGATGTTTCACATCGTTTGCCCTATCACTCATACACACTCATTACCGGTATGTACACATATTAGCTTTTCCCTGACACCTTGAGACAGGCTGAAGACCGGAAGCTCAACCACTCCTAAAGACTAAAATGTGTATTTCCCAAAACAAGGACACTCTTCTAAAACCAGCATATAACCCTCTATGGCAGGAAATCAACATTCATACCACACCACCAATCCAATCCATAGACTCCGTTCAAATGTAGTAAACTATTCCAACAATGTTTCCTTTTCTTTTCTGGCCCAGAATCCCACCCAGGAACACAAGTTGCCACGTCTCACTAGTGTCTTGTTAATCTGTAATAGTCCTCAGGGTTCTCCTGACTCCCGTTCCTGAAAGCACAGCCCTTCCACTATGTAGGATGGCCCTCAATGTGTACGTCCAGACTCAGGCCCCGCCTTCCTGGCAGCAATGCCCGGGATGCGGAGCTGTCAGGCCAGGAGGGATGGATGGAGAGCCTTCCCTCCACTGGTGATGCCAACCACATCCACCTGGTCAAGCCCATCTCTGCTAGCCTTCTCCACTGTCAAGTTACCGCCTTCCTGTGTAACTGCTGAGTATACCTATCTTGTCGGGAAAATCCTGAGATTATGCCAGTATCTTGGTCTTTGTCAAACATATACCAGTTGATGACTCCCGCATGAATCGACCACCTCTATGATGGCTGCCTAATGGTGAGTCTCTAGCCATCATTAGCAGGGAGAGCTTTCTCTCCTCATTCATTCATTCGATGCTCAAATTGTGCCAGTATTGGCCAGTGGGAGTCTCTTGAAACTGGCTGCTGTGTCCGTTTACATGCCCCATTCTTTGAACATTCTTTTACTTCCTGGCACCAGACGTTCCAGGCTCACCTTGTGTACTTTCCCACCCAATCCCTGGAACAGCTATTTCTCCAAGAACACCTGATTCCTTTTAGAGCAGGACAATATATGAAAACCAGAAGTGGGTACTAGGATTGTTCATTGTTACTGGGCAGGACGTAGTTACTTCTAACTAGAAAATTATGTATGTACATGAACAGCCATACCTATAACCACTTCTCTTATCTACTGTGTACATATGTGAAAGAAACACGAGTTTCATCTTGGTACCTCCAATTCCAACCCAACACCCTCAGGGTTCCTTCTAACCTTCCAGCTTTCCATGTTTATAATTCCCTCCTCAGACAGTTAGAAACTCCGCTCCTGTATCATCCATCCACACTTACATATTTGCCTCATTTACTTGGCTTGCTCAAGGTAACAATCTCCCCACCTCTGCAGCCTCATCCTTCATGCCCACAGCCCTTCACCCCCTTGTCCAGGGGACCCACCACTGCTCTGTGGAGCACCTTCCATGATGTTTTGTTGTTGTTGTTAATCCTCACCCAAGGATATTTTCCATTGCCCCCCCCCCCCTTTTTGAGAGAGAGAGAGTGGAGGGGAGAAAAGGAGAAGGGGAGAAGTGGAGAGAAAGGGGGGGGGGACACCTGATTTTACACATCAATTGGTTGCCTCCTGCATGCACCTCTACCAGGATTGGGTATCGAACCTGCAACCCAGGTACATGCCTTTGATCAGGAATCAAACCCGAGATCCTTCAGTGTTCGGGCCAATGCTCTAACCACTGAGAAAATTGGCCAGAGCAACTTTTGGATTTTATTAAAAGGCTTTGGACACACTCTGGTTTCAACTCTTAAATGGCCACTCTGGCTGTTTTGTGGAAAACAGACTTTGGGAAGGGCAAGGGCAGAAGCAGGGAGTTAGTTAAGAAGCTATTTTGGTCATCTGGGTAAGGGATGTTGGCTGCATAGATGAATGTGCTGTTGATGGGGGTGGTGATATGCGGTCAAATAAAGGATGTATTTTGAAGTTAGAGCCAGTGGAAATTGTTAATGGATCAGAAGTGGATATGACAGACAAAACAACGATGACAAACAGCAGCAGCCAACGCCAGTTGGGCATCAGCCCTATGTGCCTGCCACCGCTCTATTTCCTTTACAGGTAAAAATCCATCCAATCTTCACAATGTCCCATGAGGAAGGTATAGTGCGACACCCCCACTTTAATAAAATGAAGACAGTGAGGCAGAGAGGGGTTTAGTAACTGTCTAAGGCCTCAAATCTGGTCAGATGGCAGCATGAGGTCAGATGGCAGATGAGCAGGCAGTGGGTTTGGGAGGCTGTGTGCCAGCACTGGCCCTTACTGAGCCGCTGTGGACACAGAACCACTCATGGGGAGGGACGAGGTGGGAGTAGGACAGACCGCAGGGATAAAGAGTGCTTTGCTGGACATGCTAACTTTGCGATTCCTAGTGGACACCCAAGTGGAGATGTTGGGGAGACGGCTGGCATGTCTGGACCTGGGGAAAGGTGGGGATGGAGTTATAAATGGGAGGTCATCAGCATGGAGACAGTATTTAAAGCCGAAGGAGTGGATGAGATCACCCAGAGCAGCTTTTCAAATTGAAGGTTACGAAATCAATTTAGTGGGTCATGAACAGCACTTCAAAAAAATGAAATAGAACAGAATGGAAAATAACAGAGCCCATGGAGTATAAGAACTTTTTGTGAAACTTTGTTTCAGTTCTGAGTGTCTATGAACCTAAGTAAAGATAGTGTGTGTTTGGGTAAACAAAGGTTTAAAGCCACTGGTCTAGAGATTAAGGGTAGGGTTGATGCCTCAAGTACTCCAACATTTAGAGGCTGGGAAGAGGGCAAGCCAGAAAAGGAGAGTGAAGGGAAGAGAGGCCTAGTGAGGAAGGAAGAAAGGCAATGTGGGGGCCCTAGAAGTGAGTGTGACATGCTAGACACCAGACTATGTGTGTCAAGCAGTGTGACTCCAAACAGGTGTACAAAAATAATTATGGAACGGAGAGGTAAGCACAGGGGAGCGTGACCTGTTTAAGGCCTTGTGGCCGAGAACAGCATGAAAGGGGGAGGGGCGAGAGATGAAATGAGGATTTTATTTAGACCCTGAGTTTGAGGGGACAGGAAGCCAGTCTATAATTTCCACACAGTAACTACCCTTACCGGGCCTAGGAACACAGGGATGGCGATGACAGTGTTCTGGCCTAGAAAGGCTCACCCTCTGGAAGCAGGCAGACAACTGCGACATGCTGAGATCGGGCAGAGCAGGTTTGACGAGGGCATTGGCAGTTTTCCTTTCAACCTGACTGCTCACGTCTGACAACCCAAATCCACCATTCTGCCAGGCCGGACACTCAATACCTGTGCTCCTACCTCTTGGCTTGTGCCTGCCCCTCCCCAAAATGTCTCCCAAATCTCCGCCATTCTTCAAGGCCTGGCTTACATCTGACCTCTTATCAGGAAACAATCACCTCCATGCTTTGCCTGCACAGCTACAGCATTTCTTGTCCACACACCACTCCCTGGGCCTGGGCCCTGCCTTGTCCCTATTTCCCTACGATACGTGAGCGCCTTGGCTCCCCATCTGGGCTGTACATTGTTGAGGTGTGTAACAAAGGTGCCTGACTGTTGTGTGGTGCTCTAACAGCCAAGCAAATACTCACTTCCCCGTAATCCAACTTATATTTCAGCACTGTTGTTGAAACAGCTGAGCTCACCCCTGATGTCTAAAACCTTCACTGGCTCCTAATTCAGCTCAGTCTCATCTTCCAGGCATGCCACACAGCCTTCCCTTTCCCTGCCTCCCAAACTGGAACAGTGATAATCACAATAAATACAAACAACAAAGATATACAGAGATGAAATGAAGTGGGAGACATTCATCAAACTGATGACAATAGCTGTCTTTGGGTGGGGCTGAGGGGGCAGTTATCGTCCAGGAACTGGTTTAATGAACATGTTAACTTTAAAACAAGAAATAAAATGTAATAATGGCAGCTTTTTTTTTGAGTGCTTACACTGTGCACCAGGAAATACAGTCTCATTCAATCCTAACAGTCTATGATGTAGTTACTAGCCATTCTGCAGATGGGGAAACTAAGGCTCAGGAAGTGTGAGTAACTCTCACAAGGTCACACAGCTGGTCAGCAAAGAAG